ACATTACTGTTTCCAGAAACGAATAGTTACTCCCTTTTGCACTCGCCAAGTAACGTCATCACTAGTGGACCAGAGCACTCTTGTAAACAAACCAATGACGTCATTGTAAGGCGCGAATGAGGCTTTCGTAATTAGAAATATCCTTACTCCGTTTTAAATGGGGCCTCTATATTTATTTCAGCTGTCATAAGTCTTTATAAAAACGGATATTTGACTCCTCCCTTCACATCTGACTGACATCTTCGACTTAAGCTGTGACAAAATGATAACTAGATACTAAAAAGTGGAGTCTGTTAACATGAACGATCGCTTGAGTTAACGTTAGCCAGCTAACATAGATATTTGTTTTATTTGAAGGTTTGGGAAAGAGAAAATATGACAACTCTAACAAGGCAAGACCTGAATTTTGGACAAGGTAAGAAAACAAAATCACGACTGTCTATCTAATCCCTCAATAAATCCAGCTGGTGTTAACTCTGCTTCTCTGTAGATGATCATTAACTGTGTGTGATAAATGAATAATATGTGTTGGTCTTTTCAGCTTAGTATAACCTCAACATGTGGTTTATTTTCTGTAAATGTACTGTGATTGTTTTTCATGGTTAAGCTAATACGGTAACACTAAATCACAGGATATTTGCATTGAGTTTGGTTGGACTCATAACACAAGAACCACTTGAATGCTCAAGATATTATTGAGTTGATTTCTATTCTCTAGTGGTTGCTGACATCCTGTGTGAGTTCCTGGAGGTCGCCATTCATCTCATCCTGTATGTCCGCGAAGTTTATCCCTCAGGAATATTCCAGAAGAGGAAGAAATACAATGTGCCTGTGCAGGTAGAAGTCGATGTGTAATACAAACATTCACAGTTTTGCAGGGCTTATGATTCTAATACTGGACTTTTTTTTAATGTGTTTATCTCCAGATGTCATGTCACCCAGAGCTTAATCAGTACATCCAAGATACGCTTTATTGTATAAAGCCGCTCATTGAAAAAGTAAGACATGATGAGGTATTTGTGCTGAGGTTACTTTATATAACAGGGGTCGTCACTCTTTGCTAAAATCCTCAATGTCCCTCCCAGAACGATGCAGAGAAGGTGGTTGTGGTGATCATGGACAAAGAGCATCATCCAGTAGAGAGATTTGTGTTTGAGATTTCCCAGCCTACACTGCTGTCCATCAGGTGTTCCCTTCTTCTTCTCCTTTCTTTAAATTAGAAATGTCTATATGTGTCAGTCTTGACTCAGGGACATCATGGTCAGTAACAGCATGTTTTTGTCATTGTTGTTCCAGCTCAGACACACTGTTGTCACACGTGGAGCAGCTGCTGAGGGCATTCATCCTGAAGATCAGTGTCTGTGATGCTGTTTTAAATAATAACCCTCCAGGTATTTCACATACATAGATGACAGACATGTAGTTTCTTCCACCAATCACGTTATATTCCTAAAGAGGACTTAAAAAAAAAAAAAATCTAATCTCTGTCATGATTCTGCACAGAGTCCATCATAAGCAAGTAAAGTAATTATGAAAAGGAGGACCATCACTTCTTATTGAACAATATAAAGGGAGATTATTTGTTCTTTGAGTTACCACAGCTGAGAAAACAAAACACAGTTAGAAGAAAGTCAGAACATTGTTGTGACAATGGCTTTGTTTTTAAGAAAATATGACGACACATACATGATGTATTAGTGGTAACAGACACCCATCATAGACTTATTTGTGACCTGATGTTTCTTTGCTCCAGGGTGTTCCTTTTCAGTACTTGTGCATACCAGAGATGCTGCTACACGCAACATGGAGAAGGTCCAAGTCATCAAGGTGAGGATTTAGAACTCTGCAAATCTACACAATCACTTTAGATGTACTCCTTCTGGAACTTACAAAGCACAGCAGTGTGTACAAACTGAATCATTCTTTACATGTGATGGGCCACATTTGTGCATTTCTCATGACAGGATTTCCCCTGGATTGTTGCTGATGAGCAGGAGGTCCACATGCAGGAGCCCAGACTCATCCCTCTGAAGACCATGACATCTGACATAGTCAAAGTACGTAGAAACATCTCAAACAAATCCATTGACACATTCAAAGGGGGGGAAAAAAATTGAGACCTAAATGAGTTGAGGTTTTATTGTCCTTTTTTAGATCAACATGTTGATGTTCATCTGTTGTTCTCCGTCTTTGACAGATGCAGCTTTACGTGGAAGAGAGAGCCCAAAAAACGTAGGTCTCACTCTGCAGGAGCAAGCTGATGCTACGGCTTCACTCATAATCCAACACATCATGAGTCAACAGTCAGCAAAACACATTTAAGTTGAACACATGAAATCAACAAAAAGGAGATGTGGAGCGGGTTCATTAGGTGTGTACATACTGCTGCAGTCAGTGTTCAGGGTTACACTTACAGACATCTGACCCTGACTGTGTGCTGCCTGCCTGTTATTTGATGACATGACATTCACTTTAACATGAGTATGGTGGTTCTATTGTCCTGTATTGCCTTTAACTGCTTTCAGTGCAGATCTATGTATGTGAAACACAATGTTCAAACTTTTACTCATTGCACTTTGACAATAAAATCCCAGGGAAATTGGAATCTAGCAGTTTAACAATACTGGCTGTAAATTCAAATATCAATCACCAGCAGCTCCTACGTCTCTGTGTTATCAGTGTAACCCTCAGCTGTGATTTCTCTTAGCTGTAAATACGTCCTTTATGTCTCTTTATGGGGAGTTTGTCTGTATGCTCTTTGAGGTGTTTTACCTCTACATGGATGTAAAGAAAAAAAACATCTTATATCCAGTCAGTGCTAATTCTCATCTGCATGGTTATGTGTCAAATGTAAGTCTATATGTTGTAACAAAAGAACTGTTTTCACTTTTACTGCTGATAATGTGTGATTTACTATTTGAAAAATAAGTTAATGGCAAATAAAAAAACACTTTTTTTAAGCACCAGCATTAGAAATGTTTATTTTTACACTGGGACTTGTGTGTTTAGTCGACTACATGGTTAAATGTCATCACCCTCCGCAGTCAGCACCAGAAGAACCGGTTTGGTTAAATTAATTATAAACGTTTTATTTGTTGGCCACCTGCCACATGTCGGCATAGACTACAATTATCTTCCATATATCTGATGTAAATCTATTACTGCCTGTGTGTCACTGTTTTTCATCATGCCTGACTGTCCGGGAGAAGATGCTGCTCACTTGATATTTTCCCTGAAAGGTCCTTCTGTTGCCTGAGTTTCTGCTTTCTGTCTTAAATATTGAAGAAAACAAAGATTATACAAACCTCTGCAATCTTAGTCAACATAAACATACTTGAGTTGAATATTGTTTGGGGGTCAAGACTTCATTTTTCCAAAAAGATTAATGAAAGAATGTCCTTGTCCTTTGCTCTACTCTGCAGACCATTTGAAAGCCGGCCAAGTGTAGCCAAGTATTTCCCATGTCGCAGTAACTGCTATTATCTTGTTGTGATTCAGGCCGCTGAGGGCCTCTGTTCCACAGACACACAGATGACCTTTGGTACAAAACACATAAAAGGCTGCTGCATGAGCAAAGCTCAACGCTGAGGCAATAAAGATAAACTGGAGAGGCGAGCTAATACTCCACGTTTATGTAACCTGGTCTGGAATTACACAAAATATGGTTCCTTAGTATATATTTTTTGCGTTTATTAGACAACATCTTTTGATATTTACCTCTGCTAGGTCAGAGGTAACACAATGTTTTCTTTTATCACCTCATTCATACCCACCTCCTACTTCATACCGGAGTGGTTGACTCTAGATATCAACCCAGTGGATAGTTTACTTCAAGGTGAGCTCCTCTTTCATTTCTTTTTTGACATCTCACTACTGAAGGAGGTTTCTGAACTGTATAAGTGTCTATAGTGTGTTATGGCAAATGTCTATCCTGTGACCTGCAGGGCTGGTAGGTGCATGTGGGATCTCTGTACTATGCTCCTTACTGAGAGTGCACTTATTTCTAGAAGAGACGAGGTGAGTAAGTTACCTTTAAATGTATCTACCAGTTAGCATGATATCAAGTTTTCCACCTTTCACTAAATTTAACTAAAACATCACCATTTAGGTTTTTGGTGCTTGTAGCCTGTTTAGATTGTTCTCTCCGTAACCCACAGCTGGAGTGACAAAGATGATAAAGAATCAAGCAAGAAGACACCTAGTACTCAAAGGAAACCCAAAGCTGCACTTTCAGGGATGCTACACTTCCTCCTTGTGACCGGGCTGCTGGCTGTAATTGGCTCTCGTGTTGCGTCCCTGGTGGTACTAGAATTTTGTCTTCGAGGAATCTCTGGATGGGTCACAGCTGGACCAGTAAGAAACCCATTATTCAATAAAAATATGCCTTACGCTCATAGTAGTTTGCTCCTTTCTGCTACTTAATTTCTAAATTGATACCACATTGAATAGAAAGTCTTTATTGTCATTTTAAATTGGACGACATTCAAGCATCCACAGCAACAAAGCAGATGGGCATCTAAGTAAAACAACATATATTGCATAGTTAAAAAAGTGTAGAAAAATATATTGCAATGAGAAAATAGATTGCAATAGCAGCAGTAACTCATGTTTCATGTCATAAAGACTTGTCAAATCACCGTTTAAAAAATGCCACTCATCAGTTTTAATTTTTTCAATCACTGATGTTCATTTGCTCCTTCATTCCTCAGGAGTCAGGGCATTTTCTCCAGCAGCTGTTAGTCCAAAGCCAGTTCTCTCTTGGCTGTGCTCTAAGCTGCAGTTTGTACTTCCTCCACGAGGGGGCGGCCCAGCGCTGGCTATGTTTGCTCCTGGCAGCAGCACTCAGCTGGTTCTTGGCCAGACAGGCCACTCTGCTGCTGCACCATGTCCTGGCTCTGTATACACTCCACAGCTCACAGCGATACTGCGGCATCTGCATCGGGCTCCTGACATCAGGCCGCTGTCTGCTGCCCATGCTGTGCAGAGCCATGATCATTACCTTCTCTGTGGCTGTGGTGGCCGCCATAGCAACCATTAATAAGCACTTCCTCTCTGCTTCAGAGGCCCTCAGGTTTTGGACGCCACTGACCATCTGCTACACGCTTCTGGTTGTGTACATGCAGGGTGAGAAACATGACACATTTAGAGAGATGTTGCAGTGCTTCCTTCCCCATACCAAATGTGACACCCAAACGTGTGAATCTATGAACTATCAGTACCATTAAAGAAATATACGTTAGATTTAATGTGAAACAGGTTGAGTCAGTGTAGCTACGACTAAAGTTACACTCTGCCAGAACCACTTTCTTTACTTTTTTCATTTTTATGTGCTTTTGACATGCATTAAAATACATAATAAAGTAGGCCTTAATAGGCTACATGAATAAACTTGATTCTCTTTCAGGGCTAGTAGACCTGCATGCTGATACCAGATGCTATTTCGATGACATAGGAGGTATTTATTGAACTGGTATCGGTTTATAACATCTCTAAGTGATACAATCTTTCATTTCAAAGATGCTGCAATGCTCATTAGACTCTAATCAATCAAACATGTGATATTGTAGACATCTCTCCAGCCTGAGGAAAATAACTAATTCATCAGTTTGAAGCCTCGCCTGGTCTCGTCCGACCACTAAGTCATTCATCATTCATTTGAGCATTCTGATGATTTGACACCTCTATTGACCTGTCATCAATTGGAAATATTTTCATAAATGTTGCATTTTTGTTCCTGCAGAGGAGAAGAACCGGCTACCCGGCAGCCAGGCTGTCCTGAACACAGTGGTGGTGCGACTCGGTGGATTGATGGTCTTGATGCTGACTGTTGGACGCTGGGCTGACGTGCTCCAAATCCTGATGTGTTTCCTGGGAGAGGCCAGCTGTCTAATCCCCACCATGGATCTGCTGGATTCAACAACCTCACAGGTCAGTGAGTCTCCCTGGAAGCAGCAAAAGGGGCCTGAGAGCACTTTCTGTCCATTGGGAGACCAAAACTGGGGCAGAATAGCAAAGGGTTCATTAGACCGGGTCCCAAGATGAGCCAGAATTTTCCAACTTGTGTCCCAGGTGGAGGAGGTTTAAGATCCCCGAGACAGATTCAGGTCAAAGTATTCTCTGATTCAGAACACTGAGCCTACTTTTCTCTACACTTAGCGAGCCTGGTTAAATAGTTCTGTTTCATAAAGCAAAGTAAAGTCTTAATACAGTGCCAGGAAAATGTAGTGTTTATTGGATTTCAAATGAAGATTATGTCTATTCTGAGATAAAATAGAACTTTACAATAGGCCAAAAATCTACCTCATGTAAATTACTCCATCTGTTAAAAGAAATTGATTATCATGTTTGTTTCAGCATCTCTTGCACTACTCACCACTGACACTTAAAGTCAGTAAATCTGACTTTGACCTTAAAACTTTAATGAAGTCTATCGTGCATCTAAATATGTTTGAACTTTGGACAAAATATTCAACGGGCATACACTAAAAAATTGTTTGTAATCATACAATGTACGTTAATTATGATTAGGCCTATAACATGGAGTACTCAGACGCTGCATGTATTAACTTTGGTTATGACTATTCTCTAAACTGTTGCATTATCTCTTGTGTATTTCATCTTTCATACTTATTGTGTGCACACAGGATGAAGAGGACTATACAGACTTTGTTAAAAGGGAGCGTATAAGAAGACCACAAGCACAAGGGAAGGCCCATCAGAGCTAGCCGATCTGGGATTTTATACTATTTTTATTGGCACCAATATGTAAATCCTATAAAGGATAGGGCCTACATCAAAATGCATACTCTTGTTTTAATAATGTCATGTTTTTTCATTAAAAGGTTTTTTGTGGTTTTGATGTCAACATCCAATGTGTGAAAATAAAAGTGTTTAATCTCAATTTTACAAAAGGTTACCCGACAACCATTGCCCATTTGTGTAGCAAATGGTTGTAACATGACCCATCCTGCCTTACATAACTCTAGGAAGTTTGAGAGACAGGAATTCATATGGCTTCAGTTATCTGTTAAACCCTTCAAATGTAGGCTGCACATTGTTAAACAGTGTACCTCTTGTGTTAGTCACGTCATGAACTCAGCCAACCAAAGCGCTGGGTGTTGTTTTAGAAATAAGGACGATGTGTGACTGTGAGTAAATGTGTCTGGAAGAGATTGTAGCTTTGTTCACAAAATGTAATGGGGGCTCAGGGGCGTTGTAGCCCCTTTCCAAAGTGAACATGTCGACAGAACAGAGGCTCATTATGGGGACAATAAGATGAATGATTATTTATTTATCAGACTTTTTTTTTTAAGTAAAAAGGACCAAACTGGTTCCTTAAGAATCAAACATATTTTTGTATTTTCTTCTCTTATAAAGCCACGACCAAACGTACACTGCACTTAAAAGACACGCTTTAAAAAGGGTTTAAATTGCATGACATACATAGCCTGCAGTTAAAATTGAGGTTATTCGACAAAACGGATCTAAATAACTCGAATAGCAAAACAGATTACAACAACTTTAAAAGTTGGTGTTTTTCGACCGGATCTTGAATGTTAACGGGACGTTCACTACACTCCAAACACCGTAGGACAGCTGCTGAGTTCGTTTGTATTTAGTTTAATTTAATAGAAAAGCGCAAATACAATTTAAAGTCCTTTAAATATCCTTCTTTTATTAATTTTCTTATCTGGCCCTCCGGTCTCTCCAGAGACTGAAAGAGGCAAAATGGCTGACGACAACGTTCGCATTGTAATGTCACACAAAATGGCGTTACACAAAGGAAAGACGATATTAACTTGTTTGTGAGTCTTTCTGACGACATTAAAAAGAAGGCATTGTTTTTAATGGACGGTCTTTCGCTTCATACCACCTGAGGATGACATGCTCATATTCGAGCTTTATCCTGTTTTACTAACGTTGCCTAGCGACAAAGGCTGCTTCTTGTGAGAATATGCAATTTCTGACACCCACATGAAATAAATCCACATTTTGACGTTGTTGTAATGCCCAGACGGCGTGTCTTTATTGGGAACTGTGGACTGACAGACACATATTATTCCACGAGAAGGAAGGTTTTTTTTTCATATATCACTCCAGTTATCATCCCGTGTCAAAAAGGCGTTTGAAATTACGGGGGGCACTTTCGCCTGGCGGTCCAGTTCCCAAAATAATCCAGGTGTGTGAAGAGGAAATTTTTGGTTTTGGTGTTTAGTCGATCCACCAAAATAGGAATTGTACTCCCATAGGTTTATTAGAATTTAAACTGTAAAGAGCTCCACATCAGGACGAGTTCAGCAGACACCGGGAGGACGTTTCTCCAAACACTCCCGAACACGGTGCAGAGACGCACCGAAGTGATCGAGCAGCAGCTGTCGCCTCCTCTGGATATGTTTCCAGACGTTTCTGTTCTCATCTGATAGGCACGCTGGACGCATGCGCACAGTGTGGTTTTGCTTGTCCCCCGTTACCGCATTTTAGCGCATGCGCACGTCTGCCTCTAATGTGCGTGCTTAATATAGTAACAAAAGCAGAATAATGCTGTTGTGTAGTAACAGAGCGGTTCTTTGCCAAACTAAGTCAATAATCGTTTCCAATAAACATCACGTTCAGCTCCTGTAGGGGTATGTGCAAAATGTACGACATGTAGGCATATTGATAGACTAATTATTTCACCAGTGCTATTATTTTCACATGTTGACTCTGAAAACGATGGCATATCTTCTTCTCGTTTAAATCAAACTATGAGGCAAGGATAATGAAAAATAAACTTGTAGGGGCAGTTGCAAGGGAAAGTCATTAAACAAGCAGTAGGCTATTTACACCTCATCAGTGTTTATCTCAACTGGACTCTTGGACCTTTGGACATGTGCCCAATCGTTCATGTTACTTATTAGCTTTAAAACAGAGCACACACACCATGAGGTCAAAGTTTTTGACTTGATAAGCCACCTCGTATCCATCTGGGGTTGTAGCCTAGTAGGCTTAATTCGTTCAAGTTCTTATCTACCCCTACTAAGGACAGGTTTTACAAGCAAATGGCAAACATGTTAGAAGTGAAAAGTGTAATCTTCAAAATTATTAGAGAGTAGTGTTTGTGTTTTGCAAAAGATACATGTATCATATTTATATTGCAATCTTGTGACTGTGACATGGTTTGGGTTTGTATAATTTTGTTGCTCGTCATGTTAGAATTACAATAAGCTTTATTGGCCAGGTACACTCACACAAATAAGGAATTTAACTTCAATAGAATGTGCTCTAATATAATCCCTTATTGGACATGCACCATTTTCTATAACATCTCTGCTAAACTGAACCACCGGACCCTACCACACTCGCTCTGTCTGTTACTTCAAGTCCCACGGGTTTACTCTGCATTTAATTTTTTTTGCTCCAAAATTGTGGAATAATTTACAACAGTCTCTCAAGATTGACACTCTTGTTTCTCTTGGACAAATTAAGACAACGATCTCAAAGCGCTTTCGGCAGTGTGCGATTGTTCTGAGAATCATCCTGACCTGTCCTTGTTGTTTTATTTGTGCCCTTTTTGTTTTGTTTTGATTTGTATCTTGACATAATTGTAAATGAGGTAAACCTCAATGATTTCCTAGGCTTAAATACATGTTTGAAATTCAAATATACCTTCCTCATACTATACTAAGTCATCTCACTGATATGTAAAATGGATATTCCGTAACTGAACGGTATCTTTGCCTTACTTGATAATTGTATAATCTGTAAAACCTTCTACTTTTCAAAATATACTTTAAATTGAACTCTGACCCATTTTATTTCCACTGATATATTCTGAATTATCACTAAACATAAAACTATAGTGTAGTTTTATGTTTAGTGATAATTCAGCTTTAGTGATAATTAGGTCACCAATCAAATCATTTTTCCCAGGTCCCCAAACTAGATCAATCTAAAGCGTGTGAGCTGAGTCTTTCAGTTTCCCATCATCACTGCACTTCTCACAACAGAGAGGTGACATTTAGTTCATAACATGAAATCTGCCATTTTCTGAAAATTACTTTTCCCACAGTTTGTTATTCATCGAAATGTCCTGATATGTATATTTACCAAAGTGTATACAGTTAAATAAAGTATTATTAATCTTTAACAAAGAAATATATTCTCTGATTTAAAATAACAGAATCACTTAAGTGCTCAAATAATATCTGAAGTATTGATGAGACATTGAATCATAATAGGGTCCAAACAGTTTTGAGGAAAAAAAAGGTCTCAACAAAATCTTTAACACATCCTGTTTGGACCCTTTTTAAGTGGAGGTGGTACATTCAGCAAACACTTAAGATTCAAAGAAAAACAATTGCATCCTGGACACAAAATTAGATAGTTTAAGATTCAATTTAGATAGTGATACATCAAATCACAGAATACAAATCCAAGCCAAGCTATTTAAAATAATGAAACGCCAACACAGCATGGTGTGTATCACCATAAAACTTTGGCATATTTTAGAGAGCACATTCCATTGACTAATAACTTTGAGTTGTTCCATCCATTAGCTTGTTTTTTTAAAGTTCACTGAGGTCAGTGAGCATCCCCACACACTTTGTGCTCATCCCAATGACACCCTGTCATTTTGACTTTTAAAAGATAGTCATACCTCAACAAACCAACAACAGCCTATGGCCACCAATACATGCTCCCTTTGTATGTTTGTTTTGGCCTATAACTCACTTGTTTATTTGGGGGAGATGTTTTTTTTTTCATGAATTGACAATAAAATGCAGCAAAAATACAATTACTAAACTTTGGGGGGGGAATCAAACTCTGTCCCATTTTGTTTTACTGTATGCCTTACCTTGCCTTCACCAACAAGTACGGATGGGATCCTCCCGTGAGTCAAAGCTTCTCAGATGTCAAAGCACCTTCATTCAACCAGGGGTTTTCTCACGCATGCGCAGGTGCGTCGACTAGCTCATCGGGGAGAAAAAAAGAAGTTCACACACAAAGCCACGCCTGCGCGGTGTGCCTCTCATTACAAGCGAAGTTGCTGCATCTTTTTAGGAAGCTACATGCTTTCTTTCGACACCCAAAGGTCGCATGGTGTCAGGGACGCGCCTAGTCACGGGAACAGTCCGGAGCGCGTTCATGAGGTGCAAGATCGCGCTTTAACAGTGAAGAGTATCAAACAGCGTGTGGGGATCCAACCTAATGCTTTACATTGGGTCACAACGACCAGTCAATGATTGCGCCGCGTATTTGCGTTCCTGTCCGGCGTTTATTTTGCAAACCTTTTCATTTTTGCACGGGAGGAAACTGACATAGCAAACTCATCTGTATGATAGGGGAAAAGGAGCACACAGTATGGTCCGGGAAACCAGACATTTATGGGTGGGAAATTTACCCGAAAATGTACGAGAGGAGAAAATCATTGAGCACTTCAAGCGGTGAGTAGAAACATAGATGAGCTATGTGTGTGTTTGTTGTAATGTAAGAACGTGTGCATGGACAGCATCTCTCCGTGTTGTGTCACATTTAGAGAAGTCAGGATGAAGGAAGCAGGAGGTTCCCCCCCGTAGCAAAGTCCCATTTGGCAACTGTGCTGTCAGCTCCCCATAAGCAACAACACTGAGCTGCATTTCAAGCTGAGATAAAAGCGGGTTAGCACGCGTCAAGCACCCAGCTAGCAGACATATGGTTTTGCCATTTTGACACGGTCACTAACTTGCATGCGAGGTTGTAACTTTACTTGAGCTTCTCTTTGACTTTTTTTTTTTAAAGAATCCTGCCTTTGCACCTGGCGAATGTATAGAAAACTGATTTACTATAACATATCCGCTTACAGCATATTGTCTGTACAAACAAACTTCAGTCTACCTGGCGAGCTGTTCGCATTGTACAAGCTGTGCATTTCAAAGGCTGCATCTTTCGGCACACAGTAAAGTCTATGGCTTTATGCTTTTCTGATGTCTGAGCAAGTCAGACAGCCGGTGTTTCACTTTACTTTCTGCGAGTTTGTAGTCAGGTTACAGAGTCCGACCTGACCCGTGCTATACAGTAAGGTTAATGAACAACACCGTGTACCCCATCTTTCATGTCGCAAGAGCCAGCTTCTCTCTTTACCTAACACAAGTCAGTGATATCTCAAAGGTGACGCGACATCACGCCGCCATCCACGCTGCAACATTGTTCCAAACTGTGATTGAAACAGGCTGCTCTGTGTTTACTGATGTACAACATTGAAACGTTGTAGTAGCCGACTTGTGTTTACTTTATGTGCGAATGAACACACAAATGGCTCTTTGCTACATTGTGACCACTTTTTGGCTTCCCCCACAGCTGCTGACTTGCACAGTCTGCAGAGCGATCTGAAGGAAAATCACACAACACATCCATGTTTTTATGACCAAATTCAAATTAAGGTTGGTTTTGCCTCATATTTTTGGCTGTAGGTTAATACCAACCACACGAACTATTTCAGACTTTGAGGTTCTTTGTTGTTTTCCGTGGACTAAAAAAATGTAAATATGATTTTTTTTTGTTTGGCTCTCACGGTTGTCTGCGCGCTCTCGCCTTTCTCTTCTCGGCTGTCAAGGAAATAGCAGCCCGCCTCTCCGTCCATATGTGCTAGAGAGCAGACTGCTGGAAAAAAACCCATTATAGTCTACCTATATGAGCAACGCTGCCTTCTTTACTGTGTAGGCGTCGACATATCGGACGAAAGCTGGCAAATTACTGAATTCACACACGTCTGTTGAACAAAACTGCCATCAAAAGGCACATTGCCTCCAAAATGCGACTGTGTTAAATATATACATTTAGGCTTTATTTAATTCTGGCTTCGCACTCCATTGGTCATGGTTTTATTAGGCTACTTAGACAAATGCAGCGAGTCAACCACAAACATCGTCCGTGTCTGATTCCTGCAGCCCGCACAATAATGAGCTACCTATATGCTGTTTTATTTACATTAGCTCGGTCTATGATGTGCGTAACGTTATGTTTGGGGGGGATGGTGACTGGCTGCATGTTATTGCATTATAGCGGAGGGGATATTGTGTCGGCGGGTCCTTTTTAGCACGCAGCCTCCGCTCCAGCGGTAACCCAGAGGTAGTCCGAGCAGGCAGGTGCATGACAGCCCAATGTGTGATAGAAGTCATTGAAGATGGGGGACGGCAGAATGAGTAAGCAGTGTGAACAGCTTTTCTAAAATGGCGTCGGAGGCTGTTCAATGTTGGGAACTGGCATGCCAATAAATTTATGGGCACCCTGCTGTCCCTGTCGGACAGCGAAAATACACTTCAGGAAGATTTTTTAGGAGGGAAAACTCAACGCATTGTAAATGATACCAGATTTTTTAAAACCCCAGACTGGGGTCGTACATTTTTGTGTAAAAGATTCCCCAAAAATGTTAACAATGTATTTACAGGCATATTAAGGAACAATGGCATGCTTGACATAAAGTAGATCAATTAAAACTCCATAATTAACAGAGCAGCATTTTTTTAATTGGGGGGGGAAAAGGGGGACTGACGTATGTAAAATGTCCCAAATTGCCTTGTTGTAGCAAAACAGCATGAGTTTTACAACCACATATATTGATTTAAAAAAAAAAAAAACATCAACAGCGAATCAGAAAATGTCACGTCTCTTTATGCTGCCCAAACCTCATCTGTATTGCTTACAGCAGCTATAATCTTAGCTGAGTCCCTCCTCCTAGAAACATGCTAATGCTGGACAATATATGCCTTTATTAACATGCAATATGCAAAGGTTTCAAACCCTGTTGCTGGGTTACTGTTGCCTTGTAAGAAAGTACCATAGAGCAGAGAATACGAGTAGCAAAGCTTTACTACCTCCCCCTTCTCAGGCATACACAAACACATGCATATTTACATCTGAATTAAGGGCTGCCCAATAAAACAGATTTAAGGTGTCATCATGATCAGAATTGCATTATTTTCACCAAGATTCAAAGTAAACATCCTGTATGGAACTTGATAAACACTGCTGCAGCGTGATTTCATCCCAAAACCCACTGATAACCTTGTTTTCTATTGTTTTTTCTTTTAGATATGGACGCGTGGAGAGTGTCAAGGTCCTGCCAAAGCGGGGTTCAGAAGGTGGAGTCGCCGCCTTTGTGGATTTTGTGGACATTAAAAGTGCTCAGAAGGCTCACAATGCTATCAACAAGATGGGGGACAGAGACCTGCGCACTGATTACAATGAACCGGGCACAATTCCTAGTGCCGCAAGGGGGGCTGGACGATAGTCTGTCCTTAAGTTCCCGTGGCCGGGATGTCTCAGGGTTCACAAGGGCGGCAGGGGGGGCCGTGTATGTGCCCCCCACGTCGCTCCACAGCAGAGATGGACGCTATGAACGCAGACTAGACGGGTAAGTGGACAAAGTTTCTCTGAAGGCAGGGGGAGCCGCCTTACCCCCAAGCATCTTCCCACCATCTATTCATTAACTTGTTTGGGGGTGGGGGGGGGGAGGAGAGTTCATGCTTATAGGGATCCCTTCTTAAATCTAAGAGTGCTGCTAGCGCTCCTGGATTCATACGTAGATATTGAGATATTCTACAAGTAAGAGCATGTTTGTACACAAGATTATCTTTTACTATACTTAAATGAATAGTCAGTAGTTTAAATAGCTGTTGGGGAATATCTTGGTGAGTTTAAACATCTCTGTGAGGTGGATTTATCAGTTGCGGAAAATGCGGGGCAAAGATTGGAAATCTTAAAATTTCCCAGGATTATTGGAGACCTCTGGAGAGAGAGAAAAAGAGAGAGAGAGAGGGCGAGACGAAAAAAAGAGTGGTCTGCCGTCCATCCCTGGGATTCCCCTAATCTGGAGTTACGTGCCCTGCTCGGTGGATTAATGCCATCCTCACCCCAACCAAGAGCACACATTATATAAGAAACCATTGTTTGGATTAGTCTAATTTGGTTTTCAATAATCACGCACCCCTCACGGAGGTGTTCCCTTCTCATGTGGGCTGGAGTCATGTGGATAACCTACGCAGGATAATTATTCCCCTCTGGTGGATTAACGCTGGCCTAAAGGATACACTATCATGCTAAAGGTATGGGTTGTTTTCTTGGTATGTTTTTTTTTTTTGTTGTTTTTTATTTGGGATATCTAATTCAGGGCATTGCAATTTGAGTACTGGGAGACCTCTACTGGTTATTCAACTCAGTAGACGCAACAACATTTGAACATGTGAGCAAATTACTTTTTTCCCCTCCTCAATTTTTTGGTGGAGATAATTTTTTCCTTTCAACGACACGGACTCGCAGTTTGATGAGGACCATCATGGACTATGTTTGGATCATACAGTTCAAAGAAGAATTGCTGGAAAGTGAGACTGGAAAGTTGCTGCTTTTTGGAGATAACCTACCTCATAACTGTGGATTACCTGCTCCCTTCCTTAATGTGGAACTATAACTCAGCTGTGGATATAATCACATAAAGAATCAGATAAATTAGTTGCACCCATGAACTGCTTACTCATCGATCCAGCTTCGGTTTAGACTGTGTTGGTTCTTCTGCAGGAGACGGTTTGCAAGGAGATGGACAACAGATATACAATCACCGAGTTTGAAATCTGCTATGAATGGTAACAAACCTGGGAATGAATACAGTACATCTATTACCAAGAATCTGGATTACCATTAAGAGCCATGTTCTTCATTCCTCATGGCAACATTTCCAACCTTCTACCAAAGGAATTTGACTTGTAAACTACTAATGAGAGTATGACCAAAGGGGAATGTAAATGACTCTACAAATGAAGATGCAAGACTTTCTTTTTCTCCATCGCTTCCACAGCCCTGGATATCTGGTGTTTATTTAACCGGACTCGGGTGCAAGACTGATTTTTTTTTTTTCTCCCTGCACATTTGGATGGATATAAGGAATCAAACTGACTTCTCCAGCATGCAAAACATCCCAACCTGGATCCGTACAAGGCCATGTTTGTTTTCATTATTTTAAATTAAAACTGACATTCCTGCTCACCCAAGCACATGATTTTTTTTTCCGCTTTCCTGAAGATGAGGAGTACGTTTTCATATTGGAACAATTTTGCTTCATTTTTACCTCTCCACTCAACATTTTGACCATTTTTTTCTGCTCACAAAGTTCTATC